AAGCCTGGTCCCTTTCCCCAGAATTTCCTTAGCAGTTTTCTTGCTTATCTAAGCAGTGTTGCATAAGGACTCATTCTGACAACAATCCCAGGAGGTAGGTTGGGCAAGGTCTGAATGAGCTAAGGGGTGTGGGAAAGCCCTCAGACACTACGGATAACTGTGGTAGTTAAGGATGTGTGTCAGCTTGGCTAGGCCTGATTTTGAGTGGCTAGGCAGCTGGATATAGTTATTCCCCAGGATGAGATTGTAATCCCCTCCATGGTGGAATTGGCTGTGAACAGCTAAGTAGTTGCCTTCAGAGCATGGACTGCTTCCAGGTATATATGGAGAAGCTTTGGGAAAGGTCTCTAGCTTTTTGGCATATTTGGATCCTCCATTTGGCTGAGTCTTCATCTCCAGTTTCTGGATTTGAACCAGTGGCCTGCCATGTTGCTTATTGATCTTAGGATTGTGCCATTTTACCTGTTGACCTTGGGTTCATCAGCCTCAGCAGCCTGCAGCTGCATGAGTTACGAGAAGCCTCCAAGCTCTAGTGGGCCTGGAACAGGAGGCAGAGCTGAAGCCCAAGGTCAAGGTGCCTTCACTCAGCCCCTAGAGCTGGCACTTTGAGCTGGGACTTCTACCTTCCTAAACTGTAAAAGAATAAATTCTTGTTTGTTAAAGCCATACATTTGTAGTATGTCTATTACAGCAGCACTAGAGAACCAAGATAATACCCATTGTGGGGCTCAGAGTGGGTACAGTCTTGTTCAGGGTCAAAGAGCCAAGAGGTCCCAGAGGCTGTGCTGTTCAACCTCTTCCACATCCCTAATAAGTAGTGCTCCAGTCTCTGCTTGCATGCTTTCAGTGACAGGGAGCTCATTATTGCATGAGGCTTGCCATTTCACCACAGGTCACTCTGCCCATTAAAGAGTTCCCCATGTTACCCAAAACTGAGGGCCTGTGCCTGGAGTGATGCAAAGCCAATTCAGTCACACTGGGAGAAGAAAGAAGAGTTCAACCACTTATGCAAAGTGGGGAATGGACAGGGTTTCAGAATACTTCAAAAGTCTTCCCACCTCCAGTGGGCAAATACAGACAGGGTTAATATAGGTTGAATTAAGGAGCTCTGGTGGTGTCTAAGGCATTTGACTATTAACCAAAAGTTTAGCGTTTCAAACCCACCAGCCACTCTTCAGAAGGAAGATGGGGCACTCTACTTCCGCTAAGATTTACTGCCTCAGAAACCCAGCGGGGGTTGCTATGAGTCAATATCGACTTGATGGCAGTGAGTTTGTTTTTTGTTTTAATAGGTTGAGCTAAAGCTTATGATTACACATACACATTCCATTCCCAAGGACTAACCAAACCAAACCAAACTCACTGCTGTTGAGTTGTATCCAACTCATAGTGACTCCTCCTTGGGTTTCCGAGGTGGTATCACTACGGCAGTAGATTGCCCAACCTGCCTTCCAAGGAGCGGCTGGTGGGTTTGAACCACCAGCCTTCTGGTTAGTGATCAAATGCCTTAGGCAATATGCCACCAGAGCTCCCAAGAACTAGGGTTCCTTAACCCATGAGAAGGATAAAGAAAAACCTTTAAGTTACGACTATGAGCCTTACCTCTTAGCTCTGGAAGGCATCAATACCAGGTGGATTCTGTTTCTCTCAAGGCTGACCTTCCTGCAATATCTCAGACTATATTCTTGGTGTCTGTCAGTGCCGTGCCTCTGGGTCTGAGTCTTCTTTCCCTAGGCTATTTTGTACATCCGATACCATTCCTATTGCCCCCCAATCTGCCTCTCAGTAACTTTCTGGTTCCAGAGTCACAGTTCTGAGTAAGTGGAGGAACAGGGGCTGGAATCCAAGCCCAAGTGCTACTTTCCTTACAGTGCTCAGTCTTTTTACAGGACACAGGCTTCCTTCTCCCAGCCTCACTTTTGTGTTTCCTGCTTTCCCTGACCCCAGGGGCAGAATTGCCAAGGCCTGGTACATAGATGGTCCAGTGAACATTCAGGGAACTGTGGCCCCACTGTAAGAATATACTATGCCACCCTTCCCCCTGGCCAACTCCTCCAAGACTCAGCTGGGCACCATCTCTCCCAGAAGCCCACTATTCTGATTCCACTATGTCCTGTGCAACTGTGTCATAGCTGATATATATCATAAGAACATAGTGATTCTTTTATGATAATGATTCCTTTTGATAATTGAAAAAAAAAAAACCCTCCCAAACCTAGTGCCACTGACTTGACTCCAACTCAAAGTGACACTGTAGGACAAAGTAGAACTACCCCCAGAGTTTTCAAGGCTGTAATCTTTATGGAAGCAGTCTGCCACCTCTTTTTCCTGAGCAGCATCTGCTGGGTTCCAACTGCCCACATTTAGGTTAGCAGATGAGTGCTCTAACCATTGTGCAACCAGGCCTCCTTATAATAATGGTAGTACAGTAACTCAAAAAAAAAAAAAAAGAAAGAAACCAAACTCACTGCTGCCGAGTTGGATCCAACTCATAGCGACTGCTCCTTGGGTTTCCCAGGTGGTATCTCTAAGGAAGTAGATTGCTCAACCTTGCTTCCTTCTGAGGAGTGGCTGGGAGAGCATATTTAACAATTATTGAGTGCATACTATGTTCCAGGCATTGTTCTGAGTACTTTGCACACATGAATTCATTTAATCTTACAACAAGCCCAGGAGGTAGGTACTATTCATTTAACCCAAACCAAACCCACTGCCACAGAGTTGATTCCGACTCATAGTGACCCCCCATTGGGTTTTTTTTTTTTTTTTATTAGGATTTGGGTGAAGATTTACAGAGTAAATTCACTTTTCATACAGCAGTTC